ATTTAACTTTAAGTAGCGCACTCGTGTCCCGGAGACCGTCTCTGGAATAAGCTTGCCCTTTTCCAGTCAGTCCCATTTTTGTAAATTACACGTCGTAATCATGGCACTCTTAGTTCTTCTGTCCTTTAATGCCATCAAGCTTTGCTCCTTTAGCCTTTCCTCATACCTCGGTACCTCTCAATTCTCGGACCTGTCTCGATGCAAACCTTTCCACTTGTTCCAGCTTCTTGACATGATTTATCTGATGTGGGTTCCATACTGGGGATGTGTTCTCCAGGATTCACTTGGTAGATGTATAAAATATCGTGAATGGCTTCTTGCTAAGGTTGCTAAAGTAGTCCTTATCTATCTGCCAGTCTCACGTTTGCTGCTGTGGACACAATACACACAACGTGTGGATTTGGGTTGTGATGTGGGAGGTTGTGAGGAAGTATCCTGCACTGGTGGTTAGGAACAGGGTGTCGGTGGGAAACATGGGGTATATAGTATGGTTTGCTTTGAGTTGTTGTGTTTGAGTGGAAAGGACAGAGGGATTGAGGTTTGAGGGGTTACTTGGGTCTAAGCTTCCTTTTATCTCCTCTAGTTTTATCTTCAGCTTCTCTGCATCTTCTGCCAGGCTATGCACCTTTCTTCAGCAGCGACAGCCCTTCATTCTCGTATCTTGCCTGCCTCCAATATTCCCTTCATCTTTTCCTCCATCTCTATGCGAAGATCATGGACCCTTTCCCCGTGTCTTTGAATCCAGACAACATAATTTCCTTCTCTGTCCACCGATATCCTGACCACCTCTGCTACACCTTCCTGTTTATTTGTCCCATTTCTTCTCTTTGAGTCTCACCAGGAGCAACAGTTTCCACTTCCTGAAGCCGACAACACGGCAAATCCCTTCACAAGTCTGTGCCAGATAATCAGTCATTTGTGTTGGAGTCGAGTGTGTGTGTGTGTGTGAGTGTGTTTGTGTGTGTGTGTGTGTGTGTGTGTGTGTGTGTGTGTGTTTACGTATGTGTTGCGTGTGTAAAATATGACTGTACGCCTTTAAAGTACTATTATTATTTGTAAAAATGTGTCCTACTGCTACTATTCTCACCTGTAATAATCCTAGATCTTGAAGTAAAAACTAGAGTATTTTGAAACCCTCTCTTAATTATGCTAATAATCACAGATCCGTTGCTTGTACCGCTTGTTGTTCCCTACATAAAAAAAAAAATAGCGTATCGACTGGGACGAAACAATATGAGTGGAAACAGTATTTCTAGCCTTAGAACATCATTCCTGGCGTTCCAACACTCCACTCTTGGCTTCTCTCCAATGAGTTTCTGTTCGTTTTGTTAATGCACTTTTGCTGATGCAAATGTGTTTGACATCTTTATGCACTGTAGTTCCGGTCTTATCTCTGCTTACTGTTCACATTTATTCGCTGCTTTTGTGTACCTATTCTAATTCTCGATAAAATATTAAGAATTGTGGCAACACTACCCTCACTGGTAGCCCAACTTCTTATGGATTTGCACAAGTGTGTGTGCGTGTGTGGGGTGGGAGGGATGTGTACTCACCTAATTCACCTAATTGTGGTTGCAGGGGTCGAGACTCAGCTCCTGGCACTGCCCCTTCACTGAACGCTACTAAGTTCTCTCCCTGCTCCATGAGCTTTATCATATCTCGTCTTGAAGCTATGTATGGTTCCTGCCTCCACTACATCACTTTCCAGACTATTCCACTTCCTTTGACTCATCTGAGTCTTCAACTTCCAAGTGTGATCCCTTGTTTCTGTGTCCCCTTTCTGGAACATCCTGTCTCTGTCAACTTTGTCTATTCCACGCAGTATTTTGTATGTCGTTATCATGTCTCCCCTAACCCTCCTGTCCTTTAGTGTCGTCAGGCCGATTTCCCATAGCCCTTATCCTTCCACACGTCCTGTGTGTGTGTGTGTGTGTGTGTGTGTGTGTGTGTGTGTGTGTGTGTGTGTGTGTGTGTTGTGTGTGTATGTGTGTGTGTATGTATGTGTGTGTGTGTGTGTGTGTCAGTGTGTGTGTGTGTGTGTGTGTGTGTGTATGTGTGTGTGTGTGTGTGTGTGTGTTTTTGACGGGGTCGATACTCAGCTCCTTGCCTCGCCACCTACGCTGTTCTGATTACATTAACTGATTTCTGGCCTCTGGAAACTGTTTCGAATTTACTTTCATGTTTCTCTCATCCAAGTCATTTCATTTTTCCACCACTCTGGGACTAAAGAAATGCTTCCTTAAATCCGTATTGTTCATGTGTGTCTTCACTTTCCATTTCTGGATCGAGTCGGTCTCTACTGCCCTTTCAATCCTTAAAACTCCGTATATCTTAATAATGTCTCCAGGTCCTCTCTGCCAAGGTCATTAGATTCATTTTCTTCAGCCTTTCCTAATAGCTCATTCCTCTCAATTCTGGTGCTAGTCTGACCTGTCCAAGCTTCCACACCTGACTGGCCAGGTGAGGGCTTCATGCTGGAACCGGATACTAAAAAACTGACTTAACAAACCATACGTCGTATGATCGATGCAGGAGGAACCAGAGAGAGCACACAAGTGTAAGCTGAATTACGAAATGTGATTGCCACACTGGAGAGCAATTGCGATAATGCCGGTGAATGGCTCTTGATTCAAGGAATTATAGCTGCTCTCCCTCTCCTCAAATTAAGCCTGATTGCCCCCCACTGCACCCGGCTGTGTGACCACGTAATAATTAAGACGTTTAATGCAAAGAAAGTCTTTAATTTATTCGATGTTTAGCAAGGAAATGAGGTTATCCACTCTCCATGACCAATAAACATATATCAATAATATAATAATTATTGATATTTGTTTACAATTATATCCGCTCTGCCCACCTTCCTCCCTTATAAGAACCACGGGAAAAAATCTGTATTGCCATTGCAAACATTTGCAAGTGTTCAACACAGAGCTAAAGGAGAAGTGAAGGCAATTTGATGCAATCCAAGGGAAGAGTAATACTTATTTTCCTGGATCATAATCCATTCAGAGGCATCCAGGCTGTTCCCTTTCGGGAAAAAAAAAATCTCTAAGAATAGAAAGAAAATATAAGGTTAATATTTTCACTTGGTAAGTGCCACGTGCCACCGCCCAGGCATTAACAGATTTGTCGGTGGTGAATCCAATTATAGAGCTGAGTGACAAAATCCCCGGACAAAACTCCGACGACTGTTTTACACAGAGAGAAATACAGAGTGAGTCCAGATTTTAAAAGCGCTCGCTCTGCCAGCATTAATGCAAAGAACAGAGGCTTAAGCTCATATACATCAACAGTCGCACGATATATATATATATATATATATATATATATATATATATATATATATAATGTGTGTGTTCCACTGTGTATCTGTATCATTAAATAACTACAAACATATATTCGAAGAGAAATTTGTTGAGGTCTAGTTTTCAAAGCAGAGCGAATTTATGTCTTCATATTAATTTAATTTTTTAGGCCCAGTTCATACCACGGACAGCGATCTAATATCTGATATGAAGTTAATATTTCAGGCCCATTTTTTTTTTTTACCTCAGGCGTCGACCAAATGCATTGATGTGACGTGAATTTTTTGGTGTATTTGTTGCCACAGGGAGCGACCTACTGCATTCATATTTAATCATTATTTTTAGCTTAGTTTTCCCTGCTGATATCTGATATCTACCTAATATTCACCCAGTGGCCACTTTATTAGGTATACTTTTCAAGTACTGGGTAGTCAGTTGGAGACTTGTCGGCTGCACATTCATTCTGTGAATCTCCCGGTTCCCTGGATTTACTAGTGTACTTTAAATTCTGACCCTGCCATCTGCATGCCGTAGCAAAAATCGCGGTTCGTCAGACAAGGCGACTTTTTCCAACTTTTAGGCGACAGGTCTTGGCGAGCCTGTGCCCATTGTAGCCTCAGTTTCCTGTTCTTAAGAGACAGGATAGAACTCAGTGTTGTCTTCTGCTGTACACCAACTTCAAAGTTCGAAATGTTGTGTATTCAGAGATACTTTTCTGCATTCCATTGTTGTAACAAGTGATTAATTAAGTTACTGTCGCCTTTCTAATTAGTCTAGCCATTTTACTTTAACCTCTTTCATTAACAAGGCGTTTTCGCCCACAGAACTGCTGCCACTCACTCGATGTTTTGACTTTTTTCACACCATTCTCTGTAAACTCTAGAGATTGTGCTTGAAAATACCATTAGATCATCAATTTCTGAGAAACTCAAACCTCCCCTTCTGGTACCATCAATCATTTCACGGTCAAAAACACTTCGATGACATTTCTGATGTTTGGTCCGAACAACAATTGAACCTTTTGACCATGTCTGCATGCTTTTAGGCACTGAGGTGCTGCCACGTGATTGGCTGATTATATACTTGTATTAACGAGAGCTGTACAGGTTTACCTGATAAAGTGGCCACTGACTGTATATTATAAATATTCCACACTTTGTAGAGAAAGCTTTAGACGATGTTTCAATCTTTCGTTGGCGTTATTAAATCCACAATGGACCGAAACGAAGCCTGAAGGTTTCTCTTTATTGTGTAGCTGATTTGTGATTTGTTGTAGCCGCTGTCTTGTGACTTTCATCACTCGTGCACCTAGTAACACATTGGTAGCAATGATCATGATTTTATTTTTGTTATAATGAATTTTAGCCCTTCAGAGGGCAAGGCAGTCTAAAGTGTGAATTTGAAATTGATTTCCTATGAGGGGATAGAGCCACTCAATGTAAGGTCACTGAGACCATCCAAACAGAGTTGTGAAAGTAACATCTCGCGCAATTGCAGATATTCGAAGACCGAGTGTATTCGGTCCTGCCCGTTTGGGGTATACCATTTTTGAATGTTGCAATGTTGCATTGGTTGTAAAAAAACGAAATAAGTATTTTTTAAATTTATTATACAAGTAGACAATATAAAAAACATAAATGGAACTTGTTTCTGAACAATTTGTAACCAGTAAAAAAATAGAAATAGGAACTACTTATCAACAATGACACATTGCAATGGGATGCAACTTACAAATGAAATATTCCTGAGTTCCCTGAGAAAGAACAATCATTTCACATCACTAATTTTGCGAATGAAAGTTCATGAAACAATTTTTATCCTTCTTTATGCACAGATTTACTCATTCTTCCATTTGGTGTCTACTTGAGAAGCAAGATCATCTTGAAGCACTTCTTCATCAGGGTATTCCTCCATAGTAATACGTTTCTTCCTCTTGTTCAATTTTTTTTTTTTTGGTGGTGGCGCAGCTTCCTCCTCCCCATCTGTTGACACCTCTGCATCTGGTGGCAAGAATTCATCCTCACTATCCAGGAAATCCATGTCATCTGAGTCTTGATCTGAGTCAGTATCATCCCAAACACAGACAAATTTCGAGGTAGCCTTGGAGGACTCACCGTAGAACAATTTCTTATTGATCTGGAAGGACAATAAAAACATTCTGTACACACCCAGACCATTACTGAATTCATATATACACTACCAAATTTTATGGAAATATTTATATACCGAAACTTGAAAACTGCACCTAAAAGGGCAGGAACGGCCGTGCTTGGTCCTATTTTGTTGCACTTTTTTCATTTGCATGGTGCACTCGTAATATGCTTCACAACGCCTTCATATATATATCAAAATATGGCTAAACTATTCATTTACACACTAGACACACAAATCAGTACTTACCGACATTGTATTGGGTGAAATGCTTCAGTATATAAGGAGCACTATACCGAGAAACACGAGTTTTGGCGCCGGCAAGGTAGAAGTGTTTACATTCTGCTGTCTCGACCAATGGGAAGCGAGCAGCCGCCATCACCGCTCAGCCTGGGCGACTCAGGGAAGGTCTGTGATTGGTCAGAAATAGAGAATGGGAACCTAGATGCGCGGCGGGAGTTGTAGGACGTGCGCAAAAAACCACGCTATGAGGACCGACTACACTCGGGTCTGCCCGGTAACGCTGGTACTCAAAAATGTGAATACTATGCACCAGGAATGCTAGCACGGTACTCTGTATGAACTGCTAGGTGTTAAGAATGTCAGTATATAACTACTCATTAACCTGCTAGGTCCTAAGAATGTTAGTGAATGTTGCAACCCCTGAATGGGTTACAATGATTATGTATATATATATATAATGTATATTACCTTTTCATTTAATTTTATATTGCTTATATTTGCGATAATAGCTAAATCGTAAATGTATTACTTTATATTATTATTTGACTGTTATATTGTTATTTGACTTATGTTGTTAGGATGTACATAATGTGCTCAGTTCAAGTCTTGATTGTCAAACTACTGTAATTATCGCTTGTCGCTCGTTATACTGCCGGCTTCTGAGCTGTGCTGTCCACGGGGCTATCACGTGATCGAGGGGGGGTGTCCTCACCTCTCGTAAAGTATTCAGTCTGCTCTAGACTCGCTTGGTGGTTGGACAGATTGTCTGTCTCATTATTCTTGTTAGTTCTGTAGAACTCTGTTCACAGAACATTGTATAGACTTCGTGATTTTCGACGTTGTACTGAGATTGTGTGTCACATAGACACTCTGAGCATCTCAGGTCCCGAGCTATAGCTTCTGACCTAAATTTGTACTGGTATCTGTGTATTGTCACAGTCAGGGTTTTTCCTATGCTGAACTTAGATTCAGTAGTATGGGAGTTTTGTAACTTTTGTGGAGGATCTGCTGATGGTCCCTACTTAGTGTCGTTATATTATCTCCTTGATCCTGATTGTGTCGCAGTCGCTTGTTATATGGCTATTGGGCTTAGCATTCTTTTCATTGTTCAAGCAGACTGTTCTGGTTGCCAGTCGGTCAAGAAGTTATTTTATTTGAGGACTTTGTCAGTCACTTGTTTAAGTCTAGTCGAGTCGTGAGACATAGCGAACTACTTAGAGCACTTACACGCATACACAAACTTACTTGTACATATTTGTAATATCTTATTAAATGTTAATGTACCAGACGGTACTTAAGAATTATAAATGTGATATGTGCTTTCAGCACAATAAAATTGAACTCGAGAGATGTGATATTATTTTGATTGCTGTGATTAATTTAATTTGATAATATACCTCTAGACAACTTAATGATTAATAAATTTATTAAATTTTAATTTCTCTAGTTAGTAGCCTACCAGTTGTAATCCTGAAGCACTATTGAATAATACTGAATTTTAATGGATAATTGGACAAGGATACTGACTACTTGTTACGAAAACCCAGTAACAGGCTGGATGCTAGAAGGGCAGTCCTTTCTAGTATTCTCTGGAGATCTCTAAGCTTTTAGAATCGCGTTTTTTGTAACAGTGAACTACGCATTGATCTGCTGGTTGACAAGAATGTTGAGCCATAAATCCCGTATTGAACTTCTAGGTGACGATAATAAGAGTAATGCACCATTCCCTTGAAGGTGTATTTTAATACTGCTCGCATTTCTCTCTCTCATCCATAAATATATCTCGTTCTTTGTGCTAGTTTATCTTTCATTTTTTCTATATTTTCTAGTTTCCGAATAAATCTTCCAAACGTTTTCTCTCTCTCTCTCTCTCTCTCTCTCTCTCTCTCTCGTGATTCTTCGCACTCTTCCTAGATATTGTGAGAATTCACGAAAGCGCTTGAAATTTCACTATTTTTTGTTCATATAAAACAAGTCAAATGGAGATGGAAATCTTTAGCTCTAGATCTTACGTATTCTTGTGCTTCGTCAGACAACAATAGATAGCAGACGAAATTATCTGAGGCGTGGCACAAGGAATCAATGGCTGCCCATGATACAGAGTGGCTTGTTCTGCATATGTATAATTTATATTTCGTGCCGAATGGGTAAAACTTGAGATTTTGGCTTAAATAGCAACGCTCTTATCGAATAAGGCAAGCAAAATAATTTTGCAAAAATCATTCTGAACCTAACGAAAAAAAATATATTTCGTTCTGTTTATTATTAAATTATTGTAAACTTATCTAAAACATATTGAGTTGAATTAGGCTAAATTAAATTGCACTTGTTATAATACGGTTAGGTAAGTTTTCTCAGGTTCTTTTGGTACAAAATTTTTATTTTTTACATTAATATGAATGAAAAAAATATGTCTTTATACGTATAAAAGAAAATTTAAAAAATTACTTAATTTTAAATGAGTTGTTGACTAATTGACTAATTTTACCTATTCGGCACTATATATATATATATATATATATATATATATATATATATATATATATATATATATATATATATATTTAATCTTGTCAACTTAGTCCAGTTCTCCATAATTGCTAACTCTTCGTGTACTCTGCTTCCTCACATTAGCATCTATCCACCTACTACCCTTGCACCACCTCCACTACCCACTGATGCTAGCCACGTCGACCACCGTTACCATTTATCGATGATACCAGGAGGAGAGTCTCCGCTCGTGGCGATAATAGGACTTCATTATCGGTTCTCTGCAGCAGTCCCGCAGGACGCAGATAACGCTGGTTTTATCTCACTGATCAGTGGGCCACCTGCATCTTGCTCTCCACTCCTGCTGCGAAATGATTTTGCATGTGCCGTCTTGCTTAATAATCAATGAGAGAGAGAGAGAGAGAGAGAGAGAGAAAGCAACTTCACTCTAACTGTACCCTTCTCCAGAACATCACTTCATCTGAGATCATTTATCCCCAGGATGACTCGAGTATGGAACACATTCGTACAGCATTATAATGTCAACGAGATAGTCAGTTGATCAGATGAAAATGCTGGCCCACAGATGGCTCCAACTTCATCCTGTTCCCTACTTGCATGTTTCATAATAAAATGGTTTCAAATGAGCTGATGTAGGTAACAGCTCTTAGCCTGTCAATAAAGCTAGGAATCCTTAACCTGTAAATAGCTTGTCAGTAAAGCTAGGGATCCTTAACCTAATCTTGTCAAACCTTGTGAAAAAGAGAGAGAGAGAGAGAGAGACAGAGAGGCAGACAGACAGACAGACAGAGACAGAGACGGAGAGTATAGCAGAATATGTAAAAGACAGATATTTTGAGACTTCTCTCTATCGAGACTACGTGCCGAGAATGATAAAATACAGTCTACTAGTATTTCTGTCTAGATGACCCAGTGAAATCGCTGGCTCACAGACGGCTCCAACTCTATGCTGTGTATCGATACAAAAGGGTTTAAAATGAGCTGATGCAGGTAAGCGCTCTTAGCTTCTAAATTAACTTAGGAACCCTAAACTTAACCTTGTAGAACCCTATGAAAAAAAAGAGATAATTTATTAATTAGGAGGAATGGGGTCCCAATTTCTCATTGTTCATGATTAGAAACAGGAGCCACATGAACCCATGAACACAATTCCACCTTCTGGAACTATTTTATGGATTACTATGTGTAGTGCTCAATCCATGTGGTTCACTTAGCTAAAGAAATTCTGGAAGCTCGATCCTCCATTTGTTGAGTGCCAGGCATTGCCTAGATCTACTCATCATGTTGTACTGGAAACATAAACACATATGCAGTTTAATGTGATCCTTTATTGACAACGTTTCGCCCACACAGTGGGCTTTTTCAAGTCACAAACAGATCTACCAGGGGTGGAAGGTACGGGAGTATTTATAGTCAGATTAGTTGCTAGTGCAGGTAGCATTGATGTATTTGCCATAACTGAGACGTGGTTTAATTCAAAAAGTCGGGACATGCCTGCGGAATGTCATATTCAGGGTTTTAAATTGTTCCAAGTGGATAGAAGTATCGGGAAGGGTGGTGGGGTGGCATTGTATTTCCGAGATCGCTTGAACTGTTGCATAAAAACGGGTATTAAGTCTGAAGCAACACATACAGAGTCTGTTTGGGTAGAATTTTCAGAGGGGCATGAAAAACTGATTTTAGGAGTGATATACCGTCCCCCAAACTTAGATAGGGACCAAGGGAGACTACTATGGGAGGAAATTGTTAAGGCCACAAGGCACGATGATGTAGTAATTCTAGGAGACTTTAACTTTAGTCATATTGATTGGAATTTCTTGACTGGGAATTTAGAATCATACGACTTCTTAGAAGTAGTTCAGGATTGTTTTTTGAAGCAGTTTGTGACAGAACCTACAAGGGGAAATAACCTGCTTGACTTAGTTCTGGCAAACAATGAATCCCTTGTTAATAATTTAGAAATTTCAGAGGAACTGGGTGCTAGCGACCACAAATCAATTACATTTAGCATTGAATGGAAGTACGATAGTAGCGATAACTCAGTAACAGTCCCAGATTTTCGCTTAGCAGATTACGATGGGCTTAGAGAACACTTATCATCTGTTGACTGGGGTAACGAAAAGAGCTATCAATATGACAGTTTTCTGAACACTATACATGCTGCTCAAAGAACGTTTATCCCATATAAAGAAATTAGATCAAATAGAAATGACCCAAAATGGATGAATAATAGGCTGAAATATCTACTAGGGCATAAGAAAGGAATTTATAGGCGTATCAAAAGAGGTGAGGGTCATCTTATGAATCAGTATATTGACATTAAGAGGGACATTAAGAAGGGGATAAGAAAAGCTAAATGGGACTATGAAATTAAAGTTGCTAGGGATTCTAAAACTAACCCAAAGTGTTTTTTCCAGGTCTATAGAACAAAAGTTAGAGATAAGATAGGTCCCCTTAAAAATAACTATGGACATCTTACTGACAAAGAGAATGAAATGTGCTCGATTTTAAATAATTATTTTCTCTCAGTTTTTACACAGGAAGACACTAACAATATTCCAGTAATTAATTTTTATAGTGGGCCAGAAGAAGATAAATTATGTAACATCACAGTCACTAGTGAAATGGTTGTGAAGCAGATAGACCGACTGAAGCAAAATAAGTCGCCGGGTCCTGATGAGGTTTTTTCAAGGGTTCTTAAGGAATGGTAAGACACATATGCAACAGTTAGGTATCTTT